GGAACCTTCTCTTCTCCAGGTGAACACCCCCAGCTCTCCCAGCCTGGCTCCAGAGCAGAGGGGCTCCAGCCCTCTGATCAACTTAGTGGCCTCCTTGGACTTGTTTGAGCTTTTCCCAGTGCTCCATGTGCAGCCAGCTCTGTGTTGGGATGTGGGTGGGCATCACTCATGTTCCTCTGTTGGTTCATCTGACCCTCAGCTTTGCCCAGGGCTCCTGGTTGTAGGGCCAAGTGAGGGTGAGTGCACTCGTCTGCTGGCTGTGCTGCTTCAGGGCTCCAGCTGGAATAGCTTTCAGGAAAGAATTTTGGAGGTTGGTGATGAAAATAATCAGTCCTCGAGCGTGGAAAATGAGGGCTGGCAGGTGCTGCCAATTCACTGATAGCCAGGATTTCATGTGGGAAAGACTGTGTGGAGTGACCACAGGTGATGACTGTCCCATATATGTGTATCTGGATATAAAACACAGTGAGCTATGATAATAAAAATGCTCTGGAGCAGATCAGACACAGTGAACTGCCTGTGCTATCAGTGGATCTGAGTATTTTCTCAGATGTGTGCTCTGGTGTATCCGACTGTGGCAAATGGCCTCTTCCAGCATCAGGGACAAAGCAGCCTCCAAAGCTCACAAGATATTCCTGAGTGATGCCAGCAATGAAGGACAGGGAATTCAGGGCTGTTACAGACTGAAAGGAGGGTTGTTTTCTTCCCAAGCTGTAGAATAGGACGTGGGAAGGGGAAAAGGGACCGTGGGTATAACATGTTCAAACATGTTGATTTTGTTCCTGGCAAGAGCTCACTTTGAGTAGCATCAGGTAAGTTCTGCTGTGAGATGCTGGTTGGGAATGTTTATTTGGATATGTGTGTGAATGTTCTTGTTTATGGCTCATCCCTGAGTTTGACTGTCTGGCATGGTCAGGAAAAGACTGTTTCAAGGTTGTGTGAGGAAGCTTCCATGGAAATGAAACACTGCGTTCACACCAAACCACATTCAGCCCTTTCTTCTCCCACCTCCTCTTCAGTAAGTGCTGCTCTTGTCCTGAAGAGCACTGAGGGGATCCCAGTTCAGTAGCTGCTGGGGGACAGCTAAGAAAAGCAATGCGTTGTGCAAATGAGAGCTTGGGAGGTGAATTTATAGCCTGTCCACTGAAGTGGAGTGGGGAAAAAAGAGGTTGAATCAACTGAAATAACAAATCTGAGGAAATTTCTGTCTGCCTGTTCAATAAACAGAAGAGCCTAAATCCATGGCATAATTTCATCATTACAAATGGTTCTCCCAGCTCTGCTCCTCTGGGTTCATTTCAAATGACTGTTTGCAGATGTGTGTTTTCTGGAATTAGAGACACAAATTGAGAAGAGAGACTACTGTGGTCATGTGCTTTTCCTTAAAAAGGGCAAAAGTTCTATTTGTATCTATTTGGTTTCCTCTGGGTGGATATTTACCAAATCTCTGTGGGTTTCTTGGGAAATTTGTAAGTTGTGCATTTCTTGAGAAATTTTGTAACTCCTTGCCTCAAGATAACATATTGCCTTCTTTTTTCAGTTGAAAAGCTTTTTTTCCCAGCTAGCAGGAACTTACTGAAAAGTAATTCAAGGTTATTTCTGTCCATAGGAAACATTAGTCATTATTATAAAATTATAAGTCAGGCTATTTTGAGAGTGGCACTTTCACGTTAGCAAAGTTGAAAAGATACTCTGAAAATGTAAGTTCAGGGTAATATGCGAAGGAATCTTAAATAAGGCTGAAAAAAAAGAATAGAGTCTGGGATAGTGATTTCCTGCATTTATCTCCATGAACCTTCCAAGAATGACTTTGCTGCAAACTGCATTCTTTTGCCCACAGTGTATGGATCAGTGTGTGGGGAGGCTGTTTTTCCTGATCTAATGTGGTGATGTATTTCCTCTCTTTCTTGTTTTTCAGGGTCTTATGAGTGTGGAATATGTGGGAAGAAATACAAGTATTACAACTGTTTCCAGACCCACGTGCGAGCACACAGAGGTATCTCACTGCTGCTCAGATCTCTGGGAATCCTGGGGTAACACACAGGTTCAGGGACTATGAAGCTGTGCCAGGGCAGGGTCAGGTTGGATCTCAGGAAAAGGTTCTTCCCCCAGAGGGTGGTTGGCACTGACCAGGCTCTCCAGGGCAGTGGGCACAGCCCCAAGGCTGCCAGAGCTCCAGGAGGGTTTGGACAAAGCTCTGAGGGACAGGGTGGGATTGTTGGGGTGTCTGTGCTGGGCCAGGGGTTGGGCTGGATGGTCCTTGTGGGTTCCTTCCAGCTCAGGAGATTCTGTGATTTTATGTCTAATTTCAGGAAGATCTTGAAGGTTTCTCTGCACCTTCCCTGGTCACCAGTAAAGCTTCTTTACGTGGCCCATTGAGAGGATAAACTTTGGGGTTGTCTCAGCTTTGTGTCTCTCTACTCCAGTGACATTTCTTCCAAGGTCAGGGGCAGCTGCTGTGTTTGGTGCAGTGTTTCCTGCACAGGGCTCTCGCGGACATCGCTGTGTGCTGGGGGAGCTGCAGATCGGGAAGGTTATCCTGGCAGGTTCCACACACTGAGTGTGGTGGCATCTCCCCGAGGTGCTCCGTGCTCCTGCCCTGCTGGGTGTTTCAGCCATCCCTGATAAGTCAGGATGGGAGGATAAAAGTCAGATATGCTGCTGTATTTTTATGTTGAAACCAAAATGCTCCTTGAGTTCCCCCCATGCTCCTGCTGTCAGCTGAGGTCACTTCCCCAGTGCACTGTGTAGCTGAAATGTCTCGTGCTTAGTCAGGAATGGCTTTATTTGAATTTTCTGTAAGACTGGACAATCCGATGTCGCTTAATTGCAGAAATGTGAAAGTTTGTGGTGGTTTGTACAAGTTTGCAGGATTTGGAGAATTGCATATCTGAAATACCAGAACAACAGGGACTGAAAAGCAGCTCCTGAGCTTTCCAGTGGGTTTATTTTCTGTCCCCTGAGGTGAGCACTGAAGTCTGTGTGTCAGCCTGGCAGGAGCATCTACTTTAGTTCCTCTGTTTTAACCAGCAATGTTAGTACTGCTGGAATGTCTAAAGGAGCATAAAGAGAACTCCCAGTGAAAAGTTTGAAAATCCAGGGATAATCAAGGCTAATGCAATATTAGATTTTAAATGTATAAACTCTCAGAAGTCAGCACATGCCCAGCTGAGAAGGGAACGTGTGTCCTTAATTGCTCAGTTTGTCACAATCTCTCACATGTCCCTTAACTGCATGTTCCTCGTGTGCTGTTTAATATCACAGAGCTGCCTCAGTACCCTTAGATACACACTGAATTGTTTTCCAGTGCCGGTATTTCTTTTCTAAATACCAACAAAATTCCTGAAAGTCCTTTAAATGTAACTACTAAGTAGCTTCACTCTGCAGATTAAGGAAAAAAATCCCTAAAATAATAGGGATATGCTTTAGCATTACATCACAGCATTGCAATAATTTTGCAGTAATAATTGCAGTATTTAAATTTGGGAGAAGGATGGCTTTTATTTTACTTCTCTTCCCCACGCACTATGGGATCTTTAATTTGGGTGGAATTTTAGGAGCTCTGTTAGTATGAGATCACCTCCTAGTGTGTGATCCAATTGATTTGTATTTATTTATATTTGATAATGAAATTAAGCTATATATTAAATTATCTGTATGCATCAACCTGTACAATTGATATCCATGGTTTTGACATGAACTCAGTGGAGACATGACTTTACTTTTGCTCCCAAAGCCTTTGTCATATGTAGCTGTAGAAGAGGGAAATTTTCAAAATTTTGAAAGTGGAAATCTAACAGTAATTTTCACATCAGTGGTGGAGAAACAGAATTTATATATACTTATGATACTTAAAAAATGTTTTATGTTGGTGTAAATGGATGCATGTGGTATAATATTTAAAGTGCATTTGCATTGCCTTAAGACAATAAAAATCCAAACGAGGTATTTATTTATATACACTCTGCAGCAAGAACTCAAACTGCAAACATGCTGCAGCTCTGGAAATGGGATTTTCCCAGGAGCAGATCCTGAGCTGCAAGTAAAGAGGTGGGACAGTGTGTGACCTGTCTGCAGACGAATAACCTGCCAGAGAAAGGGCATGTAAAGGAAGGGCAGGAAAAAGAAGGAAGAGTTCTCTGGAGGAAAGCCCTTTGTGATATTACCCAGTGAGACCTGTACATGGACTGTACCAGGAACAGTGCTGGAATAGCATAGGACTGCAGGAGTGACGGGAATTTTTGTGAAAGATGCTTTTATTGCCCCACTTCATGGAGGAGAAGAGGCCTGTGCTGCCCCATCATGACACAGGTGGGATAACGTGGCGGTGACACTGCACTGGGGGTGTCACTCTGCACGCTGCAGGGTTTCACAGTCTTGGATAAAGCACTGGCAGTCCAGCTCTCCCAGGGCTGCTTTCCTCAAAGCACTGGAATGTGAGCTCCCTTGGCCCATTAAGTGCAGTTAATCAGCTGCCAGAAACTCCGATCCTGAATCCTGCAGTCCTTTCTTTTTCCTGGGCAAGGGAGGAGTTGTGCTGCACTGGCAGGACCTGGCATTCCCTCTTTGCAGGATGGATTTTCTGAGTGTCATCCGTGGCTTCCCTGAGGTCTGAGCCACCCCTCAGTCCCCGAACATCTGCCTTTCCCAAAGGTTGGACTGAGCCTGGAAAACTCACCAGCTCAGCATCAGAGAGGGAGAGCAAACATAGGCCCCTCTTTCTTCTCTTTAGGTGCTTCCTTCCAGGGCTTTTTGGGCATTCCAGCAGAAATCCCTGCTGTTTGGGATTTGCTGTAGGATACAGCTCTTCCCCTTGAACAGTCCTCTACTCTCTGCTTCCTTCTGGGGCTCCCATGTCACTAAAGGGCCTTGACCAAGCCCTGGGTTGATCCTGCAGATGGACAGAGCAGATGATACAAAAGGTTCAGCCCACGGGGGAACAGATAAACTGGAGCTGATCTGGTTTGGACCTTTGGGGCAGAACAAAACATCTGTCTTTCCAGCACCACTGTCACCACTCAGTGACACAACAGCTGAGCCCAGGATGGGAGGTTTGGTGGTCTCCAGTTGTTCTTGCTCTGAACTGAGCTGGTTTTTGAGTGCAGTGCCCAGTGTGGAGCTGTGGCAGGGCAGCCTGGGGCTCACAGCTTGTGGCCAGCATGGGGGGATGGTCTGTTGCCCTCTGCTCATGCAGTTTATCTGTCCTTGTCCACCCTGTGCAGAACTTATGTGTCTTCTCATCCTTTGAGCTGTTTGGTTCCACATGAAGAGTCTTGCACTGGCAACATCTTTTTTTTCTTTGTAATGAGCGTTTTTTTAAGGAATTTTCTATATTTTTTTTATAACTGCTCCTGCCTCTTCTCTAGCTCTCCGTGGCAGACAGGCTGGTTGGACGTCACCTGTGTTCTTTAGGCTGATTTCTTCCTTGTCTGCCTTCAGGAACAAGGGAGTTTATATTGGAAAATGGGTATTTTCTTAGTTTACTGAGCTTCCCTGTGGTGCTCACCATTGGCTGGAGAATTTCAGGCAGCAGTTGATCTCCTGGCAGTTTGCAAGTGCAAACTTTGGGACATTAGGATGGTTTAGTTCCTGTTCTGCTTTCCTCTGAAAGCTGAGATGCAGGCACAGAAATCCCCATGTCAGGGTTCTGCACAGGGCCAGAAACGTAGGTAAGAAATTTCCTCACTACATTTTATCAAGGAAGAAAGTTCCTTCCCCTTTTGCCTCCCCAAAACACACCAATAAAATAAAAAAGAAACCTAACAACAAAAGTTATGTTGTGGAGCTGAAAGGCTCCTTTGTGAGCTGATGCCTGCAGGATCACGGCTCCTTCCTCCTGCCGAGCTGCTGGAGTTCAGCTGGAGCAGAGGGGCTGCACATTCCTGGTGCTGATGGAAGGCTCTGTCCCAAATGTTACCGCTTCGCCTACACGCAACCCAGGGCTTAAAAATGTTTTGCTTACAGTGCTTTTATTTTAGCTGTGTGGGGTTTTTCAAGTCATTAAAAGGTTTGGATTGCCTTCAGGAGTTAGTCAGCTAGAAAGTTCTGCTTTGTACGGTTGGGTCGTGTTTGAGCAACATGAGCAGCAAAACATCCGCATGTTTTGAGTCAGGAAAATTATTTCACTTTTAGATAACTCAAAAAAATGGCTGAAATTGCTTTATTAGACTTTCAAACAGTAAATTTATAAACTTCTGGGCTGAGGCCAAGCAAGGGAGATTTTTACCCAAAGAAGAATTCTTCAGAAAGCAAAGAAAGAAAATAGCAAGGCTCAAGTTTAACCCTCGCAGGATATCTCGCCTCTGGCCCAAGAATTGGTGGAAGTTCTCTGCTTCCAGATAAGCCTTTCTGGGCTGAATGATGATTTTGCTCCAGTTGTTTTCCATTATTATTTATTTACATTATTTAGTTGTTGCGCTACCCCCCTCCAAACCCATCAGCTCCCAGTGTCCTCCCCGTGTGGCTGTGCCAGCCGACAGCTGAGCTGCCCTCACCAGAACAGACGCTGAACACACCACACTGGGACTGAGTTCTTCAGGCCAAGCTTCTAGTTTCACCAGTTGTTAAAAAGCTTCTCAAAGCTTTGAAAGTTTCAGATTAATGTTTTCCAAGAATGGGTTCTGCTCAATGCAAAAAAATATGAAAAGGAAGATGACTCATTCAGATGGTGAATATGGAAAAACGCTTTTTTCCAAAGTGCACATTTTTGGAGTCTGAGTTAGAGCAGTTCTGTCACTGAGTGGATTTTGAGGTGAGAAGTAGAAAATTCATAGTGAAATAACCATCCCTGAGTAGAAAGGTTGTTCCTGAGCTGTAGGCAGTTGGGGTTCACTTGTTTGCTTATCTACTACTGAAAAATCGGAGGATTTTGAGGAGGTCCTTTGCCCTCTGCTCTGCATCCCAAGATCCATTTTTTCCTGTGCACATTTCCCAGTCTGCAGCAGATATTCATATGAGATGGAGAAATTTTCTTGGGACATAGGAGTTAACTTGCCTATTTTGCAGCTCCCCTGCCCACCTCCCTACTCTTACTGACTTTTACAACTTCTCAGAAATTGGTCTTTTGTCTCAGAGCTGTAATTACTTGGTCTCAGCCCAAAGGTGATGCAGAGCAGGCATTAGGGGATTTTTAGTTCGGCATTTTTTAATTCAGGAAGACTTTGTTCTGTCTTATGACTAACAACATTTCTTAGCACAGTTCAGAAACAGCTGCTTCTTAGACCTTTGTGTGTTGCCTGATTCTTGTTAAATTTGACTAAAGTACTTTTTAAAGCTATTTAAATAGTGCATATTTTTTGTGGTGTATTTATGCCATTGCTTGTGAATGCCAGGACAGCATTTTGCAGAAATCCATTGTGTCATAGCTGCTTTTCCTCGAGTGATAGGTGGGAATTTCATACAAGTAGCAGCTGTGAAAAAATCCAGGGCTCTGCTGTCAAGGTTCTGCATCTGATACTGAGGATTTCTGGTCTGGCCCCTCGGTTTATGAAATTGTGCCAAATTAATATCGTTGCCTAGAAAAATGATCTAATCAGGCAGGTTAATCAAGTAGAAATGTACAAATTCACAAACCCACAATCATTTGTTTTTATTAATTTTAAGAAATAGGGAAATTAAATGCAAACAGTGTTCATTACTTAAGGTTGCGAATTTTAAATTCAAAAATGCTGTGCCATTCCGCAGCTGTGGTTTCCAGAGGAGCACAAGCATGATTCCAAGAGACATATGGAATATTTTGCAACGTAGTTATGTTATTAGATAATGTGACATACAGTATATGCAATTTAGGATGAATATGAAACACTTCAAAATGGCTTGGAAATCCTAATCGTTTATGATCCTTGACTTGTAACTTTGGGTTTTGTTTTCCAGCTTATAGCTTTGCCCATTGCATTCATTTAAGGCTTGAACATGATCTGTGCTCTGTGCTTCTTGCAGTCTCAGCCACAGCGAAGGGAGCTTTTTCTCCCATCTTTCCACATCTGTCTTCAGTAAGACCAGGACAGAATCGCCCTGGGGGGAATCTCATGGCCTGTATCCTGTAGTGGCTTTGCCATGGCTGGGGAGGGGAGACTGAGCTGGCTGCACTGTTCACTGCTGGCTTTCCTTGTTGACAGCTCTTGCCCAGAAATTGCCTGTTGAAACAAGTCCAGAGGAGGCCACAGAGATGCTCTGATGGCTGGAGCCCCTCTGCTCTGGAGCCAGGCTGGGAGAGCAGGGGGGGTTCACCTGGAGAAGAGAAGGCTCCAGGGAGACCTGAGAGCCCCTTCCAGGGCCTAAAGGGGCTCCAGGAGAGCTGGAGAGGGACTTGGGACAGGGGATGGAGGGACAGGACAAGGGGGAATGGCTTCCCACTGCCAGAGGGCAGGGTTAGATGGGATATTGGGAAGGAATTGTTCTCTTGAGGGTGGGGAGGCCCCAGCACAAGTTTCCCAGAGAAGCTGTGGCTGCCCCATCCCTGGAAGTGTCCAAGGCCAGGTTGGACGGGGCTTGGAGCAACCTGGTCTAGTGGAAGGTGTCCCTGCCCATGGCAGGGGGTGGAATGAAATCATCTCTAAGGTCCTTTCCAACCCAAGCCAGCCTGTGACTAATTGCACATGAGGTATTTCAATAACCCTTCAGTAGAAATTAGGAAGCTAATCCTCATGAACTCCTTTAATGACAGTGGGGCTGTTGGGATGTGTCTGTCCAGGCCCTACACTCCCCATCCAGGGCCCCTCAGCCAGGGCACAGCAGGAGCTGGGCTGGGCCAGGAGGGATGGGCAGGGGGAGCAGGCAGCCCTCTCACCCCACACCTCCCCACAGCCCTCTCAGGGCTCCCTGAAGCCCTTCAGAACAGGGCCAGGGTAGGGACGTCCCTTCAGCCATCCCATGTCGACCCCAGGTCCCAGTGACAGCCTGGGGAATCAGAGCCCCGGGTTATGAGGCTCCTCCAAAGGACCAGGTTGGACGGGGCTTGGAGCAGCTGGTCTAGTGGAAGGTGTCACTGCCATGGCAGGGGGTGGACCGAGATGGTCTTCAAGGTCCCCTTCCAGCCCAAACCAGTGTGTGATTCTCTGGCCGCGGGCAGCTGCGGTTTAACACCGAGCCCTTGTTGGCGGGGTCGGGCCCCGCAGCCCCGGTGAGCCCTCACCGCCCGCTCCGTGCCCTCAGGGCCGCCATGTGGGGCAGAGCCGCAGCCGGAGCAGAGCGAGGGAGCGAGCGAGCGAGGCAGTGCTCGGGCCCGGGGCAGCGCGGCCGCGGATCTAAGCGCAGCTCTTTCTCTTTGCAGACACCGAAGCTGCCTCAGGGGAAGGAGCCTCACAAGGCAGTAAGTATAGCGGGGCGTGAGGGGGCCGCGGGCTGGCGGGGCCGAGACCCTGCGGGGCCGGGCCGGTGGCGGGGCCGTCCCGCAGGCGGCCGGCAGGGGGCGGCCCTGCCGCGGAGATGGCGGCGGCGGGAGGTGGCGGGACAGGGCGGGCACGGCGGGTCCCGGGCACGGCAGTCCCTCGCGGCTCGGGGCCCCTCAGGGCACGGCGGGCCCCGGGCACGGCAGTCCCTCGCGGCTCGGGGCCCCTCAGGGCACGGCGGGCCCCGGGCACGGCAGTCCCTCGCGGCTCGGGGCCCCTCAGGGCACGGCGGGCCCCGGGCACGGCAGTCCCTCGCGGCTCGGGGCCCCTCAGGGCACGGCGGGCCCCGGGCACGGCAGTCCCTCGCGGCTCGGGGCCCCTCAGGGCACGGCGGGCCCCGGGCAGGGCAGTCCCTCGCGGCTCAGCAGCCCAGGCGGTTGTCGTCGTCCCCCCGCCGTGAGGGCAGCGCGGTGCCTCGGGAGCCGCCCCGTGGGTGCTGTGAGGGGACCGTGAGCAGAGCTCCTGCTGCCTCGGCCCCCTGGGCAGGGGCAGGGCACCGCCAGCCTCTCCAGTGGCGTCAAGCCTTGTAGGATTTTTAAACCCTAGAGCTACAGTTCTGGGGGGCTGTGCCAGCCCTGGGGAAGGACAACCAGAGCTGGCCCAGTGCTGAGCGGACCGAGGCAGCGGGGAAGAGGTGGCAGCGAGGGGAGCTGGGGGCAGACTCATGGTCCCTGTGAGGGGTGATGGGGAGGATGGAGCCGGGCTGTTCCCAGCGACAGGAGAACTGAGAGATAATGGGCATGAAGTGAAAAGACGAGAGGTTGAGGCTGTGTTGAAGGAGAAGCTGTCCCCCATGCCGTGGAACAGGCTGTCCAGAGGGGCTGTGTCCTGCATCCTTGGGGTTTCACATGACCAGCCTGGATAAAATCCCAAGTAACCAGGACTGAGCTCGGAGCAGACCCAGCTTTGAGCAGGAGGTTAGACCAGAGACCTGCTGAGGTCTCTGCCCACCCTGGGTTTTGCTATGGTCATGTTAGCTGGGACCACAATTCCCGTTAGAAAGGTAAGTTATCAACCTTGGTGGTTACAGAGGGCAGCTTGGTAGCACCAAGCTTACCCTGGGTGGGTACCAAAATATTAGATTAATAGTAACGAAAAATAATAATTAAAAAGTACAACCAGGCCACCTTTTCTGAACTTTTTCTTTAGCCCATTCTGTGATAGGTGAAGAGCTGAAGTTAGTTTTGGGGGGGTCTTGGCTTTCTGTCTGCAAAAGGAAGCAGGACTGACTTCACTGCAGGTGGGGGATGAAGATCCTCAGCCCTGAGCCAAAACATCTCAGTAGCAACCAGCCATTAACACCGTGTGTACACACAGTGTGCCTGCTCACTGGGGGGAGCTGGGCTGTGCCCCTGAGCCTTTCACTTGGCAGTGTCCAACTCCATGCAGGGGTTGGAGACTACTTCCCAGGCCCCTCCCTTGGTGTCTCTTTTTCAGTCAGTGCTCTGGTGCCCATTGGTGTTTTACTTATCCCGAGGCTTTCCAGGGTCATCTCCTGGCTCCCTTACTCTGAATTTTGACCGTGGACAATGCTGAGTTCTGGGCCAGGCTTTGTGCATCCTGGGCTTGCACTTTTTTGTCCTTTTTTTGTTTTGTACTTTTAGCCAGAGCTTGGGCAGAAGTCTCAGCTTCTGAGGAGCTGCTCTTGGGAGCAGTGGGGATGAAGCAGGGAACAGTAAGAGGGGCAGGGACTGCTTCTATCTTCATGCAGGGCTGTCCAACGCAGAACCCCTCTCCAGTACAGGAATTACTGCCCCCCCTTTTTACCTGCTGCACTCACTGCTATCCCAGAATAGTCTCATCTAGATAATAGAGCTGGGGGCAAGACCAGGCCACCAGAGCAGGGAGACAGTGAGTGGTGGGCTGTGGGATGGAGAAGGAGGATCCACCACAGCCATGCCCCTCTGGAGGGACAGCCCAGACACATCACCTGTGTCACAGGGTGGACGTGAGACTGCTCTGCCAGTGCTGCTGTGTCTCACTGCAGATGGTTGTGATTTCCTGACCAGGTCGTCTTCCTCTTCCCTCTTTGCTGCTGCAGTGAAACAGCTCAGCTGTCCTTTTTCCTCCTTCCCCTCTGGGGCTGGATTAAATCCCTGGCCTACCCTGGTTGTTTCTGCACATCTCTTTTTTCCAATCAATGGCTCTCTTGTTTCCTTGTCAGTCTGTTTGCTCCTCATATATTTTAGGAATTTTTTATTTATCTTTCCTTTTCTGCTATTTTTGTTTTGCCTGCTGCTCCACTGCTATTCCTCTGTGACCCGTTTGGCTGTTTACACCCTCCCTATTACAGATGTCTGTATTGTTCAGATCTTCCTCTGCTATTTCTATCTCATTGGAAACCTCTACATTCATGGTCTCTGCAGGCATGGTTTGCTGCCCTCTTCCAAAATTTCACAGTGTTTGAGGAATACAGCAAGATCTTGTTTTCTCTCATGTGCTTCTCTCTGGGGTCTGGATTGCATCCATCCTGAACTGCTGTGGGTGAGGAGTCCCATGACCAGCAGTGGTTCCCTAGCATTAGTTCACAAATCTAGAAGGGCAGGTTTTGCAAAGCTGTTCAGGTTTTCTCCATGGCGACTTTTTGGAGCCAGCTGTTACAGCCACCAGTGCTCACCTAAAAAGTGTTGGTGAAGTGTTGGTGTTGTGTGTCAGGTGAGGAGACATCTCGGCAGCTGCCTGTGCAGAGCACCTGGGCTGGGTCCCAGCTTTGGTGACGGTTACCTGGGCTGTGCTCCCTGGACTTGCCCCAAGCCCAACCAGCTCTGGTTTTAGGAGGCAAAGTTTGAGTGTGAGAGTGAGCCGTGCCTGGGCTGTGGGGAGGATGAATGACTGACCTGGTGGGTGAGGCTGTGCTGTAACATGCCTTCAGGCTCAAAGAGCTGTGGTAAGAAGGGGCTGCTGCAGGAAGGTCTGTCCTGGCCTTCTTTTTTCCTGGGAAGAGGGGAGCCTTGGGGCAAGCTGGGATGTGGCTGAGGGCAGTTGTTTGCTGCCTGCTTGAAGAGGAGACAGTGGTGTTTAGACTTTCCAGCTGGAAAGCACTTTGAAGACTCCTTTGATGAAAAGCTGTTGCATTTAGCTGGTTATTTTCAGCCTCTGGGGTTTTTAGTCTTTAGATTGTGACTCTGGGACTCCCTTTATTTTTTTTTACCCATTCTTGAAGTGACACAGCTCTGTGGTATTGAGGAGAGGATGTGCTCATGGGGACATGGCTACATGGCTTTGGGAGGTACTTTTCTAGCCTTGGCTCAGGGTCCAAGACCAGAATTCCCACATGTAGAGAGAGGAAAACAATGCAGCCCACCATGCTGATGTGTTAATGAAGAGACTTTGAGTGCTACCAACTTTGACTGGCAGAGAGGAGGAAGAGAGGAGAGTGATTTTGAAAAAAACCTGTCTATTTGATATTTCTTCCTAGGCAGGGGTGGTCACTTTGACATCCAGGTCACTGACTGTTCCTGTAAGAGAGTCTGGCTGTCTTTTCTGAGATGCTGAACCACCTCTGTGTTTTGCTCTGGACTTCAGAAAGTGCTCAGGAAGGTGATGGGGCCAGATCTGTGCCATCATTCTCCATGGAAATTCCAGTCATGTTTAGGAGAGTTACAAACTTTGCACAAACAGTCTCCCTGCTGCTGCTCACATACCACAGGAAATTCTTGGCAACAGGACAGGTCACTGAATAAACTCAGGGGCAAGTGGGGGTCTGTGTCCCTGTGGCCACAGGGACACAGCTGAGGGCAGCAGCACCTGCCTGAGCAAGTGTTCGCTCAGTGCCGGGGCGTGGAGCAGGTTGTGGTCAGTGGGTTGCGTTGGGTGAGTTGAGTTTGATGGATTGTATTTGGTGGGTTGTGTTTGAGGGGTTTTATTTGGTGGGTTGTCTTGGGTGGGTTGTATTTGGTGGGTTGTCTTGGGTGGGTTGTCTTGAGTGGGTTGAGTTTGATGGGTTTTATCGAGTGGGTTGTGTTGGATGGGTTGTATTTGGTGGGTTGTGTTTGATGGGTTGTATTTGGTGGGTTGTGTTTGATGGGTTGTATTTGGTGGGTTGTGTTTGATGGGTTGTATTTGGTGGGTTGTGTTTGATGGGGTTTATTTGGTGGGTTGTGTTCAGTGCTCATGTCCCAGGCTGGGGGCACAGTTCTAAGAGCTGGGCTGGCACCGGTGTTGGCTCAGCACTGCCCATGGAGGGCCTGTACCTGGGAGCTGCCATTGGGTTAGGAAGAAAAGCCAGGATGGTCTCCGTGCTGACAGCCTGTTTCTGGGCACATCCCCAGCAGGTTGAGGGGAGAATGAGCTCCCACCAGCACAGCCCTGGTCTCCAGGGTGTGGTAGTCTTCACTGTTTGCAGGTCTGTAACTCTGCTAGACAGGCTGGGAGAGCTGAGAGTGTTCACCTGGAGAAGAGAAGGCTTCAGAGAGACCTTAGAGTCCCTTCCAGTGTCTAAAGGGCTCCAAGAGAGCTGGAGAGGGACTTTGGACAAGGGCCTGGAGGGACAGGACAAGGGGGAATGGCTTCCCACTGCCAGAGAGCAGGGTTAGATGGGATATTGGGAAGAAATTGTTCCCTGTGAAGGTGGTGAGGCCCTGGCAGAGGTTGCCCAGAGAAGCTGTGGCTGCCCCAACCCTGGAAGTGTCCAAGGCCAGGTTGGACGGGGCTTGGAGCAACCTGGGCTAGTGGAAGGTGTCCCTGCCCATGGCAGGAGGTGGGACTGGGTAGGCTTTAAGGTCCCTCCCAATCCAGGCCATTCTGTAATTTTGATTCTGTGATTGTAATACTCAGGCTACTGGATTTTGGTATTATTCTTTTCTGTAGGAAAGAGGAACTTAAATACAAGAACATAACTGGCTTGCAGAGCTCAAAGGTAGACTGGGTTTTATGGTTGCCCACGAAATTCATCTGGGAGTTGTGTAAGCACCCAGGCTTT